ATTAATTTAAAAATTAATATAAATTATATCATATAAATTAATAAATTACTCATAAAAAAATTTAAAATTTTACTCTGCCATAAGTTATTGGCTCCGTCCCCGAGTGAGGATAAAAATAGGATTGCATGGATAGGATAGGATGGAATACTGTGGGTAGAAACAAGGAGATGGGCATGTCGGTGGGGCTATTTCAATTTGCTACACCCTTTCAGGTTAATGTCACATCATTAATTTTGTTTAGATTAAACACATAGCTTTTGCGTTTCCCAAATTTACCCTTATTTGAACTAGTTCAATGGATCTAATGGTTTATTATCAAATCTAAAAAGTTTGGATTCAAGTAATTAGAAATTCTACTTTTATTAATTACTTCAAAAAATTCTCCTCTTCTTCTAAATTCCCCATATTCAAAAAATTAAAAAAAAAAAAATCTACCCTTACAACACCTAGTATTATAGATCATTTAGTTGAAAGTGCATCTCCTCAACTTCAAAAGTTAGGTTCAATCCCTTACCCCTCCCCTAAAAGTTGCACTTGTTTGAAAAAAAAAAAAAAAAAAACTACCCTTATTTAATTTTCATTGTTCTTGTTTCTATTTCCTATTTACACCCTAATCTCATTTTTTTAATAACAATTCAATACTTAAAATATTTAAAATTGTGAACTTCAAAACAAAAAAGAAAACAATTTGCTTGTCTTAAATTATTTTTTATGAAAGTTTTGTGAAAAATCTTGAGAGATGAGAGAGCGAGGTAGACCAAGGGAGCGAGGCAGCAGACGATGAAGATCATGGGACTAGCACAGAGCACAGAGCGAAGGTCAAAGAAGCACCAAAAGATATAACGGAGCAGCTAGCTAGAATAGAGGCCGTCAGAGACAAGGGTATGAAGGTGGATAGGATCGAGTCCTTTACAACCAGGCAACGGTGCTTTCCTTCACCAACTTTCTAGATGGCTGGACCTATGAACAAATGTGGAAGACCTTCCTCAAGTTCGGACGTGTATTTGCCATATATAGCCCTCAGAGAAAGAACAAGGAAGGAAGCACATTTGGTTTTGTGCACTTCCTGGACGTCAAGGATGAGAGGAGCCTAAGGAAACAGTTAGATCAGACCCAGATTGGCAAGCAAAAGCTCAAAATCCACCCTCATCGTTTTAACACTAAACCAAAACCGGTAAACCCCAAACACCATACAAACACTGTAGGGAGCCCAAAACCAAGCTACGTGGAGGTAGTAAAAGGCATTGGAGCCAATAGAGGTATCAAACCTGCCCAACTTGGGATAACAAGCAATAATGGAAAAACAAAACAAAAATGGGTAGAGAAACAGAGGGAATTGCATTGGACTGGACTTGAGTTCAACCCTAGGCATGAAGACTGGGAATGGTTTGAGGGATGCTTTGTTGGAATAGCTAGATCAGTAGAGATTGTGCCCATACTTCAAGAAAGACTATACATGGATGGGCTTTTCTCAATCAAGCTTCGAGCAATGGGTGGGAAACTTGTCCTTATGGATTGTGATGATAAAGAGGAATTGAAAGGACTAGTTGAGTTAGCAAAAGATTGGCTGGGGCAGTGGTTTGTCAACATTAAGCATTGGACCCCCCAAATGGTTGCCAAAAAGAGATTTGTTTGGCTGAAGTGTTATGGAGTTCCTCTTCATGGATGGGGTCCTGAATTCTTCATCTCAATTGCAAATCTATGGGGGAATTTTATCACCCTAAACGAAAGCACTAGCTCTAAAAAGAGGTTTGATGTTGCAAGGTTTATGATCTCTACATCAGAAACAAGCCTAATCTCTAAAACCCTTACAGACAAGATTAATGGGCACATGTATTGCATAAAGTGCAAAGAGGCGGAGACAACAAATGGTAGCTTCTCTTTAAAATCAGACATCCAACAGTCCTCCCATCAAACTTTGAGGAAGATTGTAGTGAATCTTGGTCCTCCGACTACCCATCTGAAGACACTCAAATATCTGGCCAGAATGGAGCCTTACATGGCGGCAACTCTAACCCGGCATCCGGTGGAGATGACGATGATGATGTGGCACTAAAGGACAACCAGGTAGTGGGGGAGTCAACTAGGGTGAGGTTTTCAAAGGATCCTTCAAACTGGAACAGTGCAAACAATAAATTCAACTGGTTGGATGGGATGGCTATTTGTTCCCAAGAAAGGTGTGAGGAGGGATGTTCAGTAAACGTAGTTGGTGATAATTTGACACCGCTGAAAAATCCGAATGATTACAAGATTTTGAATGGGGATGATGGTAAGCAAGTGGTAGATCCAATGAAGTAACCCTTTGAACACTATAGTAGTGGTTCCAGATGGACTATTGAGAAAAAAAATGGGCCAATTTTGGTAGCCCAACAAAACTCCACCAACTTGCAAGAATTTAACAACGTTGGGCCTAATGTCAATGTTAACTATGATGGGCTTAGCAAATCAACACCTGGTTGCAGCAAATCCATTCCAATGCAATCAACTGTTGTAGTTGCATCACTCAATAGCCTAGTGAATCTGGAAAATAAATCCAAGGGTAAGGCTGATCTCGAGCAGCAATTGGAAGAGGACTCAGGTGAGGATGATGAAATAAACTCTTTCTGGTATGGATTAGCTAGCAATTCTGAGATAATCAAAGAAAGAACAAGCCAAGGCGCAAGGAAGAAACAGAGAAGGAAGAAGAGTAAGAAGACCAGATTGTGCCTAGCGGAGTACAAGGATTCTAATCTAGCAAAGATTGTTGGGGTTTAGAAGATGGGTTGTGGACAGTTAAGTTTATCAAAGGAATTGGGAGAAAAAGTTCTTGAATTCTACCCCAGGGACACCAACTCTGTAGTGGGGGCATCAATTACAGATAGCGCTATTGAAAACTACAATAGAGGGTTTCATAACAAGGATAAAGTCACTTCAGCTTTAGATGCGTGGAATCTCATCAAGGAAATGGGTTTGGGTGCTAATGGGAATGAAGATGAAATCATCAAGAAGATTGAGTTGATGGAGCAGAGAGACATTAATGTTAAAAAACAAGCACTGGAAAGGAATACGGTGAACGATGGTGAGGTATGTATATTTCATCCATGATTATTTTCTCCTATAATGTGCGAGGATTGGGTGGTTCTGACAAGAAAAGAGAAGTAAAGGAATGGGTAGTCAACAAAAAGTGCAGTTTCTAGCTTTGCAAGAGTCAAAATTAGAACAAGTTAGTCGTCAAACTTGTAGAGCTTTATGGGGTACAGATGATTTTGAATTTGCAGCTATGGCCTCTGTTGGTCGTTCAGGTGGATTGATTTGTGTTTGGGATAATATTGTTTTCCAATTGAATAGAATTTTTAGTGGAGAACACTAGTTGGGTTTGTTTGGGTTTTGGGGAACAAACAGGATGCCAATGTACCTTATAAATGTCTATGGTCCTTGTGATTTGGTAGGAAGGAGATAGTTGCGGACTGAGCTAAAAACTCTAATTACAAGTATGAAGGGTAACTGGTGTGTGATGGGAGATTTTAACACCACAAAGAACAGTCAGGAAAGAATTGGACGTACTAGTGTGTCAAGAAGCATGTGGGATTTTGCAATGTGGGATTTTGCAAACGTCATTTATGAATCTGGGTTGGTGGATACCCTATGATTGGAAGAAAGTACACATGGTACCACTCAAGTGGCAACTCTATGAGTCAATTAGATTGATTCCTGATGACAAAGGAATGGTTAACAAACTGGAGTGAAACGAGGGAGTGGGGTTTGAGGAGATCACTCTCGGATCATTGTCCAATGTTGTTGAGAGATTCAAAGCTTAATTGGGGGCCTAAGCCTTTTAAATGCTTTAATAGCTAGATTGACAAGCCAGGCTTCCATGAAATGGTAATGGATACATGGAGAACAGTTGATGTTCAAGGATGGAAAGGCTATTGTCTTAAGGAGAAAATCAAGCTTGTAAAGAAAAGGCTCAAGGAATGGAGTGAAAATGATCATACGAGGCTGGATTAGAGCATTGCCGAAAGCAAATATAAAATTAAAACGCTTGATTTAAGAGGTGAACGAGGGACTCTTTCAATGCAAGAAGCAAGTGACAAGAAAATTGAATTTTACAATCTTTGGAGTGACTTGAAGGTCAGGGAAGGGCAGTGGAGACAGAAAGCTAGGAAACAATGGTTGAGAGAGGGAGACGCAAATTCCAAATTCTACCACAAATGTATTAGCAGCAGACAATGTAAGAAAGAGATTGTCAATATCCAGGTAAATGGCAAGAAGTTAGAAGAAGTTGATAAAATAAAAAATGGCATATCAAAGTACTTCGAAAATCTGTTTAAAGAAGAAGAATGGAAAAGGCCGAATATGGATGGCATCTCTTTCAAACAAATTTCCCAAGCCCAAAATGATCTACTTGTTATGCCATTTAGTGAAGATGAAATCAAAGTAGCAGTGTGGGACTGTGGGAGTGACAAGACTCCGGGACCTAACCCACAAAGAATTGAGGAGTTTAGGCCTATTTCACTCATTGGCTCCCTGTACAAAATTGTTGCTAAATTGCTTGCCAATAGGCTACACTCAATAATAGCTGACATTATTGGGGAACATTATGTGGCCTTGATTGAAGGTAGGCATTTATGTGAAGGAGTTGTCACAGAAAATGAAATTATTGACGAAGCTAAGAGGAAAAAGAAGAAGAGTTTTGTTTTCAAAGTGGACTTTGAAAAGGCTTTCAACAAGGTGAACTGGAACTTCCTTGATTATATGATGATGAGACTTGGATTTAATGAAATATGGAGAAAATGGATCATGGAGTGTCTTCAAACTAGTTTATTGTCGGTGTTGGTCAACGGTAGCCCATCTAAACAATTTCCTGTCTCAAGGGGATTAAAGCAAGGAGATCCATTGTTTCCCTTCCTATTCCTAATCATTGCAAAAGGATTGAACAAAATCATCAATACTGCACTTGATAGGGGATTGTATGAAGGAATAAAAGTGGGGAATTCGGGGATTTGATTCTTTTACATCCAATTTGCAGGCGACACGATCATTTTTTGGGAAGCTTATGAAGAAAAACATCCAGGTTGTGAAGTGCATTATGAGAGCTTTTTAGCTTGCTCCAGGTCTAAAAATTAATTATCATAAAAGTCAACTCATGGGTATCTATATTGAGGCTAAATGGATGCAGAAAATGGCTTGGATACTTAATTGTAAAATTGGAGCTTTGCCCTTTAAATACTTGGGAGTCCCAGTGGGTGGCAAGCACAGAAAACATAGTGTGTGGCTACCATTAATTGAATCTTTTCAGAAGAAGTTGCTGAACTAGAAGGCTCATTGGTCATCATTCGGAGGTAGAATCACCTTCCTCAATTTTGTGCTCACATCGCTCCCAGTCTTCTTCTTGTCCGTCTATCTCACTCCCAAAGGTATTGTCAAAGCTTTTGATAAAATTAGGAATAAATTTCTATGGGGTGGATGTGAAGACACTAGGAAAGTGCATTGGGTTAACTAGAAAATAGTCTATATTAGTAAAAGGGATGGAGGGCTTGGGGTTAAGGATCTTAGACTCTTTAATTTGGCATTACTTGGAAAGTGGTAGAGTAGATTGGCCAAGGGTTCTCCTGGGTTGTTTTTTAGCCTGATTAAAGAAAAATATGGGTATGAGGGTGGAAATTGGTGTAACTGGGTAAAAGAAGGGAAAAGTGCAGGGTCCAACTGGTGGAAGGATTTGTGCATGTTAGATATACTAGAGGAGAATAGGAGGGGTTGGCTGTTAGGGGGCTTCCAAATTAGGATCGGTAATGGAGAGAAAGTTAGTTTTTGGAAGGATTCATGGAGTAATACTGAAGTGCTTGCTAATGTTTTTCATAGATTATATTTGCTTTCTACAAGGAAAGACAGCACAATTGATTAGATGGGTAGATGGGAAAACAACAAATGGGTTTGGAACCTTCCTTGGCGACGCACCCCACACTCTTGGGAGCAAGATTCCATGCAAGATTTCAACAAACTCCTCAAGGAGACCAACCTGACCATAGGGGAGGAAGACACTTGGACTTGGGAATGAGATAAGTTGGGTGATTACTCTGCAAGCTCAGGATACACTACTTTGGTCCAACATCAACCCTCACCATACAGACAAGTTTTTGAAAAGATTTGGAATCCCCTTATTCCTCACAAAGTCTGTGGTTTCACTTGGCTACTACTACTTGATAGGATTCCCTTGAAATCCAACTTGTTGAAAAGGGGATTAATTAAGGAGATGGAGGCTATTAAGTGTAGCTTTTGTGGATAGAATGTGGAAGACAGCAACCATCTTTTTCTCCACTGCTCAATTAGTGCAAAAATCTGGGCAATGTGCTTTGAATGGTGGGGTTTCTCCACTGCCATTGCTGGTTCATGTTGGGATTCTTTCATCCAACATGAATCCATAGCTACTAAAAGCAATGACCAGCTGGGTTGGATTATAGTGTGATTTTCTCTTGTTTGGACCATCCGGACTACCAAGAATGAAGTAATCTTTAGAGGTAAATTGATGGATTTGACAAAGACTTTTGATCAAGTTCAAGCTCAAGCCTTCCTCTTGGTCAAGAACAAAGGAAAGGAAGTACATTTCTGCTTCTCTAACTGAATCTTAAACCCCAAGTGCTGCAAGTTTTTATAAATGGGTCTCCCAATGCTATAATGTTTTTGGTTCTTCATTCTAACAGGGATTGGCTAATATATACAGGTTTGAATACCCCTTGTACTCATATAATTAAATTTTTTGCCTTTCAAAAAAAAAATATTTTTTTTATGTATTAATTTATATAAAAAAATAAAAAAATTAACAATAATTTTGATACTAATAATATAA